ACCCTGCGGCTGTTCCCAACAGCCCTGAAAAAAAAAAAAAAGGAGCCAGCACTGCGGCTGGGGCAGCCAAACAGCCCTGAATAAAAAAAAAATTAAATAATTAATCATGCAGTCCTGCGGCTGTTTCCCCAGCCGTGATATAAAAAAAAAAAAAAAAATTTCTCAGTTCTGCCGCAGCAGCCCTGGCGGAAATTTAAATAATATAAAAAAAAGAGAGAGAGAAGGATGCGCTGCCGCTGTCTCCAACGGCACTGAAAAGTTTTTTTTTTAGATGCCGCAGCGCTGATGGAGAGTAAAAGAAAAAAAAAAATTAGGCAGAGCTGCCGCTGGTGCTGGCAGCGCTTGTGGAGAAGAATAATATAAAAAAAAATGTTGAGTGGTTTACCAAAGCAACGCTGCGTTGCAAGATTGATGGGCCAATTTTGTTAGAGGCAGGGAGAATTGCTAATCAGCAGTTTTGGCTGAAACCAACACTGCGGCTCGTTGGGTTGGAGGGATGCGGAAAAAAAAGACATCGTTTAAATGTGCAGTGTTGCTGGGTGAGTGGAACAGAAGAAAGATTCGACTAAATCATGGCTGTCCACGGCCAAGAACAAATTCTTTGTTGTTTTGAAAATTCCCTGCCTTGGCCTTGGACACGTTCAAGATGGCCATTCCATTGTTTTGTTGATATTTGATTGGCCATTTTGGCCATAAAACAACTTGCTAATTGAGGGGGTTTGATGCCAAGTTAGATATTATTTTAGTTGTTTGGATTGTGTCAACAATTTGGTTCATAATTCTTATAAACCAAATTGTGGGGGGCATTTGTTAACACCTAAAATTAATTTGGCCGGAATTAAATGCCGCATTAATTAGTCTCGGCATTTAAGTCGATACCGCAAGTAAAAACGGTGTCGTTGGGAGTCGAGCGGTGTCGCGGGAAACAAAAACGGTACCGCGAGTAAGCCCAGCGGTACCGCAACACTGGAAACGACACCGCTTGCCGAAAATAAAAAAAAGAGGGTCGTGTGTTTAATGGGGTTGAAGGAGGAGTCTTTAATTGTTTAATTATTATTTTTTATTCCTTGTGAGAAGCGGCACCGCCGGGAGTTAAAACGGTACCGCGAAACAGAAAACCGGTGCCGCGAGGAAGCTCAGCGGTACCGCGGAACTGGAGAGGGGCCGCGCGTTCTAGTGTAGGTGTTGGGGAAGGAGTTTTGTTTATAATTAATTAATATTTTTATTCCTGGTTGGAAGGGGAAAATCGGTACCGCATGGAGACAAGCGGTATCGCGGAGAGTTAAAACGGTACCGCGGATTTAAAAACGGTGCCGCGAGAGCCTAGTAAGCGGTACCGATTAATTAAAGATCATATCGGGCAAGTGACCAAAATTCACCCGGCCCAATGCGAGCGCCGACTGCGACGCGTTCCATGGATTAATATTTTTTGGCTATATCGGCGGTGTCGTTTAATTCAAAACGGTACCGCGAGTAAGCCCAACGGTACCGCGGATTAGCAAACGACAGTGTTAAAAAAAGAAACAATGTCGCGGAATGGAAAACGACATTGTTTGTCGGCATCGATTAGTGAAAGGTGATGCCGCGGTATTGGTGAAACGACATCGTTGCATGGACAAGGGTGTAGGATTTGGCTCAATGTCGTTTCGCCAAGTTTCTGCAAACAAGAGCGGTTTCGATGGCACGTGATTTTTACGCAAAGCAGAAAGAGGAGATCAAGGCAGTTGAGACATGTGGGGTTTCAGGACGGGGCAGTTGAAGAAGCAGTTCTACAGAGCGTGAAGACTACGAAGTTGGTTTTAGATAAAATCAACCCTGCAAGGAGAGAGAGGGGACAACCAAATCAACACAGAAACACATCTGTCAAACTTTACCTTTTTTCTCTGTAACTCCTTCGCGGAGCTCTCCTTCCAGGAAGGATCTCCATAGTTGTAGTCTTAGTCGTAGTCGCGGAGCTCTCCACAGGAATCTCCATAGGAGTAGCGGTAGCGTAGATTCCTCAAAAACTCAAACACCCTCGTTCGAACGTAGTTTGGAGAGGTGCGAACCGTAGTAACGGTCGCGTTGGTTAGAAGTCAGAGGTGAATCGATTAAATCAACGACGCCGACGTTCGGTGGCGGATATTTGACGGTCACGTCGATTTCACCATTCAGAGGTGCATCGATCAAATCAACACCGCCCGGTGGATATTTGACGATCATCGTCGATTTCAGCAAGCAGCGGTGCATCCGATCAAACGGCACCGCAAGAGTTTCCATCGTGAAACATCAAATCAACATCGCCGGAAACCGAATTCGGCACCGGCGGTGGCATTTGGTTTTCCCGAGGAAACACTCTCCTTCCTGTCCCGTCTGGATCTCCATGGAAACATGGTGACAGGTTCTATTCCTCCTGAGGTAGGGAATCTTCTGCAGCTTGAGTACTTGGACTTGTCAATGAATCGACTTTCCAGCCAGATTCCGTCCAATGTTTGCTCCCTCTCCAATCTCCTCTACCTGAACATGGCACAGAACAGCTTGGAAGGTCCAGTCCCCAAAGTTGGGATTTGCTCAAACCTCTCAAAGGTTTCACTTCAAGGCAACAACAAACTCTGTGGAGGAGTCCTAGGCACCCATTGCGAAATCAGCAGAATAGAAAAGTCATCACTCCTGATATGGTTGGTTTCTGGGTTAGCAATTGGATTCACCATTCTCAGCCTGACAATCGCCTTCTGCCTACGACAATGGGTTACTTCAGGCAGCAGGCGAAGCAATGCTGAGGAAATTGAAGTGAGCAAGTTGGACAGCTTGATTGATCAAAACCACCTCTACTTCCTCAACAGCAGCAGGTCAAGGGAGCCATTGAGCATCAATGTGGCCATGTTCGAGCAGCCGCTTCGGAAGCTGACCTTGGGGAACATCCTGGAAGCCACCAACAACTTCAGGGAGACCAACATAATCGGTGATGGCGGGTTTGGCACCGTCTACAAGGCCACACTCCGAAACGGTAACAAAGTAGCAGTGAAGAAGCTGAGTCAAGCAAAAGCACAGGGTGACAGAGAATTCGTTGCAGAAATGGAAACCTTAGGGAAGGTCAAGCACCAGAACCTTGTTTCTTTGCTCGGCTACTGCTCGTTTGGCGAGGAGAAGCTGCTGGTCTATCAATACATGGTGAATGGCAGCTTGGACATGTGGCTTAGGAACAGAACTGGCAGGCTGGAAGTGCTTGATTGGAACAAGAGGCTCAAGATTGCAGTGGGTTCAGCTCGTGGGCTGAAGTTCCTCCACCATGGATTCCACCCCCATATCATCCACAGAGACATCAAGGCCAGCAACATACTCCTGAACGAGGATTTCGAGCCCAAAGTCGCAGACTTTGGCCTCGCGAGGCTGATCAGCGCGTGCGAGACCCACGTCAGCACCGAGATCGCAGGCACCTTGGGTTACATCCCGCCAGAGTACGGCCAGAGTTGTAGGTCGACAAAGAAGGGCGACGTCTACAGCTTCGGGGTCATTCTTTTAGAGCTTGTGACAGGGAAGGAGCCCACAGGACCTGATTTCAAAGAAGTGGAAGGTGGGAACTTGGTGGGGTGGGTTCTGCAGAAGAGGAAGAAAGGGGAAGCCGTGGAAGTCCTCGATCCAGCAGTGCTGAATGCGGACTGCGAAGGTGCAATGCTTAAGGTTCTGCAGATTGCTTCTGTGTGCTTGGCTGAAAACCCAGCTAGAAGGCCAACTATGGAGGAAGTGTACAAGTTGTTGAAAGGGGTTTGATCTTGGTTTGACTGGACTTCTGTAAGAATAAGTAGATAGGTTTAAACAAAGATTATAGACGAAGACATGAAGTTTAGTTGAACTTGTACCGAATACTACTAATCCCCATCAGTCTGCTAATATAATTTACAGAAGTTTGATAACAATGTGTTCTGGTTTAAGCTTTTGGTTTTTGCTTTGATAGTAGGAAGCAGTGTGTTGAATGAATCTGTAGAAAGTGTAAAGGAGAAGAGAAGCAATAGAATGTAGGGATGGCAATGGGTCGGGTTGGGTCGGGTTTTGCCAAACCCAAACCCAAACCCATGGGTTTATCTTTGAAAAAAACCCGGGGTAAAACCCACTGGGTTTGAAAAACTCAAACCCAACCCAACCCGTTGGGTATCCGCGGGTTCATGGGTACCCACGGGTTTTGTCGTAAAAAATTTACAATTACAAGTTCTTATCAAAATTAAAGTCAAATATCAATCTCTCAATACAAATTATCCATATATAAAACACCAAATTAGAAAATTCAAGCAAATCACAAATTAACTATACAAATTGTTCAACACCAATCTAGAAAACTTAAGAAAATTGAAGCAAATCACAAATTATCCATAAATAACATGTTTAATTGAAAATTTCTTCCTTTCAATTAAGTTTATTTACTCTCCACTCCATAACATCAACTTAATTCTACACAATTAAAAAGAAAAAATTAGACATGTCTCCACAAATATAAATAAGATTAGTTGTTTAGAATATTAAATATACCGAAAAAATTAATTATATGAGTGAGCGGGTACCCACGGGCCGGGTTTACCTAAACCCAAACCCAACCCAACCCGGTAAATAGTGAACGGGTTTAAACCCAAACCCGGCCCAAAACCCGTCAACACGGATTTTACCCGCGTTGACCGGATTGGGTCGGGTGGGTACCCATGGGTTCGGGTTTTGTTGCCATCCCTAATAGAATGGCTTGAGTTAAAGCTGTGCTCACAAGCCGAGCCCGTGTTCGTTGGGCCAAGGAGTATATCAATCATCCCAGCCCCGAGGCTGTCTTGTTCATCTACCACGATAATTGGGGCTGGACTGGATGAGCTGTGGTGGCACTTTCGGTTTATCCAATTGGCCTACCTCCAACCTTGCACTTCTTTACTTGCGTAAATCAACGTTTGTGTATGGTCACCCCCTCTTATCAAACCGGATTACATCTAACACATAGATCTGACCAAATCAGATCAATTATAATGTGGTTCGATTTTCGGGTTCATAAACTTTATAAATACTAACCAAACACAATCAAAAGCAAACATTAGACAAAGATCAAATGCAATTTTGACCAAAGAACTATCATACTCTTATAGAAAACCTCATTACTTGAAACGTCGTCCATTGGGGTATCAAACACGCCAACCGTTTGTTTTAGTCATGTGCTTGATGATGGCAGAAGCAGAAGCTTAGTCAAAGCCCCATTAGCAGGCGTAACCAGTCGACTTAACTTCCTTCTCCGTAAATCTGAGGAACAACCGCATCAGAGAAGTTTCTGAATCCCCCAATCGCCGATCACAGTCACGATTCACTTTGCCTTCGTGATTTGCTCCCCGCTACTATGACGAAGGAATTCAATGTGCCACCCGTCATCTTCCCATCCGGCGGCAATCCGATTGTCACTGGCGGAGCCAATATGCAGCAGCGGCGAGTCCCCACGGCGCCGTTCCCTCCTCGCACTTCCAACGCCGGAATCCCTTTCATGTCATTCGAGATCGGCTCCGCTCCCACCGCCTCCTACGGCAGCGGCGCCATCGGTGGAGGCCCCGTTCCCTCCGCTGCTAATTTCGATGAAGAACCGCCTATTCTCGACGAGCTCGGGCGGGGTATCAGGTTCGTCATATCTGGAGTTTTCGTGATCTGGGAAACCAGGGCTTGCACCAATCTCATGGTGGCAGTGGCCAGAGGCGGAGAAGAACATCGTGGGTTGATTGCGGATTGAAGGAGGAGAACATTGTGGTGTTCGTGTTCGACGATATCGCTAACATCGAGCTTAATCCCAGGCCCGGGACCATCATCAACCACCCGCAAGGCGACGACCTTTACGCCGGCGTCCCCAAGGTTGCTTCCGACGATGCGAATCCCGACAGCCGGCAGTTACACTTTAGGAGGCTTCAGTTTTGGGTCCGACGGTTACAATTCCAGAGCATCGGTTACAAATCCAGAGGCGATTCCAACTGCGATCCGTTTCAGATACGCTTGTTCTTTCTCTTTCCTCTCTAATTTTAATATTTATTTATTTTCAGAATTATAATTCTAAAATCTTTTAATTTATTCTCCTTAACTGCTCGTATTTATAAACTTTTCATTAACTTCACTGTAAAAAAAAAGTAATAAAAAATGTATTTCTTTTGACCTTGTTAGCTTTTGATTCGGAGTATCCGACTAAGCCTCAATGGCTTGTTTAAGTCCATTCGGTGGAGGTTAGTTGTCCTCCACTATGGGCGCTTGTGTGTTTGTTTGTTTTTGTAGGGACACGTAGTTCTCCCTTGACCATACAAGCATCCATCCATTATGATTCAATCTCATGATGTGGCGCATGCGACAGGTGGAGCGATCTTGGAAGAGATTTGTTTGGCGTCTGTGTCTTTTAATTTCTTTATTAATACTTTTACGCAGAGGTTGTACAACAGGGCTGCCCACTTAGTGGCTTCTAATGCCCTTTCATCGACAGCTCGATATTGTGTCGACTGTCGCGTCTGGTTTTCTAGCGTCCTGTAATATCTATTTCATTCCCGATCTATGGCAAAAAAAAAAAAAAAATCTGAGGAACTAATTAATTAATCAACAAAAGAAAAAAAAGAAACGCCCACCTTTTCCCTCTTTTCCCGCCATCACTTTCTCCCCTCTCCTTTTCCTGACGAGAGAGAGAAGAAGAAACTAGTAGAAACATAAATGGAGAAGAAGAAGAAGAAATAAAAGTCTATGAGAAACTTCCTGAAGTCGGCCCCACATGTTTAAGCAGGCCACGTGGTCCCATTCAGCACGTGCCATTCCCCAGTTCCGATTCTCGGATCCCGTTCCCGCCCACCCCGGCGACTATTCCTTCCCTTCTCCGCCACCTGTTCTAACTTCTATCCTCTTTTCTCTACCCCAATTCTAATTTTCGCAACAGAACCAAAAAAAAAACTAACAGATATAATTTACGAGTTAAATTAATTAATTACACACCCTCTGATTCGCCCTGTGAAACTGCTTCAGCCACGGCGTCTCTCCGTTCTGACAATCCCCCGGCTCCGACTTCACCACCTCCCCCGGCGGCTGCAGCTGCAACTCCGTCTCTCCGTCCTCCTCCATTGCCGCCACCGATGTATTAGTCGATTCTCCGTCCCTCCCTCTCTTCGCCCCAATCGCCACCCCGAAAATCCTCGCCTCCTCCAACTCGTCCACACTCCGCTTTACCGGCATCAGATCCAGCGGCGGTGGAGGCGGGCTCGCCGCCGCCGCCTCCTCGGCGATCCGAGAACCGGGGCTACCGGAGTAACTGGACACCATGGAGAATATGTTGTTGCAGAGATTCTTCATCTCCACCAACTCCTTGCTCAGCTGCATGTTCTCTCTCCGGAGCCTCTCGTTCTCACCGATCAGCTCCGCCGCCGGCCCTCCTGCCCCGGTGAGAGGCGAGGAGGAGGTTGCAGAAGCGCCGCCGAACTGCTCCTCTCCCGAATTCGACGGAGACGCGAATTGCTTAATCGAGACCTGAGTCGGGGAGGGAGTTTGCGCCGATGACAGGACCTTCCGCCGCTGTATCTCGCACAACAGGCGCCTCTCTCCCCGCCGGAAACAGTCGTTGGAGAATTCCCATCGGTCCGGCACCAGTTTTCTGAATCCCTAATTGGAAAACAGAGACATCCGAAAAATGATTTCAATTTCTCGAAAACCTAGAAACCGGCGAAGACGGAATTTGAATTGACTGATAAGATTCAATTAGGGATTAGAAAAGATTGCTTACGTAAGTGTTCAATTGGCGGACGAAGCTGGAGAAGTTATTGTGCTTGAAGTTCTTTGGGAGGATGTCTCTGGCGAAGACGGTGGGGTTCCAGACGACGAAGCTCGATCCGTCGTCGTTCCAGGAAATCACGTCGTCGATTGCCGGATCGTCGACGAGTTGGTACGTCTTGGTGAGGAACGGCGTCGGGAGAGATCTCTGCGACTCTGTTCCTCCTCCGCCGGTTGGAGTACCGGCGTCGGCAGTCTGATCCGACGTCGGAGGAGCCATCGGCTGCGCAATGGTGGAGGAGCTTTCTCCGGTCACTGAATCAGTTCTGGAAAGTTCTGAATCGAGATAAGATGAGATGAGATGGTTGAGCAGAGCTGGGGCGAGGAAGACGAAACGCAGGTAGATAGAGAGAGAGAGAGAGAGAAGCAGGAGAAGGTATGTTTCGTCTCTTCGAGAAGCTTCCCCTTTTTATCTTCTTTTTTCCCCTTCTCTCTCTTATTTATTCTTTATTATTTTCTGTGTGCGGTTTCTTTTTTTCTCTTTCTTTTTTAAGTTCAGCGAAAAGAAAAGAAATTTTTTTTTTTTTTTCAGGTTGCGTGGGAGGTAACTGGTAAATTTGGGAACTCGCGAATTATATTTTTCTGGGAAATTAGTAATTAATTTTCAGCGACTTTTTTTTCACTCTATATATGCCAGGAAAATATCTACCTGCAGATGTTTTCCAACCTTTGCATTTAATGTTTTTTTTTTTTAATTTTAACATCGTAGTCAACAAACTAATTCATGTAAAAAGGTTGAATTTTGTGATGGGGATTGGGAATAATGCAACTTCAAGACTGAATTTCTTTTCTTCTATTCCCACTCAAAGAGGTTGAACTTTGTGATTGGGATTGGGTCATGGTGTTTATCTCGTATTGACGTAAGTTTGTGTTCACGCTCGAACCTATAGACACACTAATCCAATCAGTTCAAACTTCGTTGAATGTATCATAACGCATAAGATATAAATTTTGACCGGAGTAACTAAATTTGGAGCGAAAATTACTCTTTTTTCGGTCACCAGAGGAAGAGGGGATATATCATATATGTTAATATGTACATCCAAAATGGTTAGAACTTAGAAGTAGGGAGCAAAGGTTATAAGAGGAGCCAAGTGTTGTATTATTCGGAACTAGCATTATCTACTCATCTTATCTCTTGTTCCACACACCTTCGGCTAACATTTCCTAGACACGTACAAAACCCAATCTATCCCAACAGAGAAGAAAGCGACTCCATTGTTGTATATATATATATATATATATATATATATATATATATATATATATATATATATATATATATATATATATATATATATATACAGTAACTGCTGATGCTTCTTCGATGGCAGCTTTCCTTTGGGGTCACTTTCCTCCGCCACTGAAACTGAAGCCCATTGAAAAAAACCCCTACTTTAAGATGAAACATGGCTTCGGGGAGTCACCAGAACCATACAATGTCTGGAAACGGTTTCACATGTCGTACCAATTTATCGGCGTGTTGGTTTGTGAGACCGTAACGGAGATCGTACTTACGAGGCTAATGCTTTGATTAGTGGGTTAATGATTGGTCGATTAGGATAATTAACGAATTGCTAACACTGTGTGTTTGGCTTTGGTGAATGAGGGAAGCAGTCTTTTGCCATGGAGTAGGAAAAGTTCCAACAGTGTGTGTGACTAGGAATGGCTTGTCTTTTGGTGTGGGGCGGTTGGGTAAATCCTATTTCAGAAAGGGTAATCTTTGACAAGGGACTACATACCCTATTATAATGGGAAAGGGAAAGGGAAGTCCAAGTCAAAATGGTTGTAATCCTGACATGAACCTAAACAGTATTATAGTGGAGAGAAAGCCACAACAAAGCCATCATCAATGGCTGAAAGCCTCCAGACCAGAATAATACCATATATCTGTTAAATAAAGGAAGGGAGAACAGAAACAGAACAAGAAACTCCCATGAAGATTCTAAAGCGATAAGCCATCATGGCCTGCCCTGAAATCAAACTCTGTAGTCTATCCCAGATTATATCTCCTATGGTCTTGCCAGGTTTCTTGACTCGAATCTAAATTCCTCATACATCGCTTCACGTTAAGGGAAGCGGGCAGTTCATCTAAGAGCTGCAAGACTTCCACTGCATTCTTAATATCGCGGATTGTCCTGGCTAGCAAAGTTTGGTCACAGCAAAATTGCAGGCAGCAAGTAATTGACAGCATCACCATTTAACTTCGATCAGGAAATGCATACACGTTGTCATAAGTTCCCATCAGAGATTGCATAGAATGAGCAGATGCAGTGGCAAAAGGCAGAAGTAAAAAAAACGTTGTGCAGATACTTCCTCTCCAAATAACAAGGAATCAAACTGAGAAGAAAATCCTGTTCTTTTTGTTTCGTACGCTCTTTGTTTTTGTCATTCTACTGACAAATGTACAGAAGTAAATGTAGTTCCTGTAGGTTCAAGTATTTCACTTGCATGAACTAACAAGAGGAAGAAAATCTGGTACAAGCATACACTTTCCTCTTTTGGCAATTCATCAAAAACTTCTCAAGTGGTAAAGGAAACAGATCGTATCAAAATCATCACGAAACGGATAGAGTGCCTCTTCTGTAAAACAACAGGCTAATCGAAGTGAAGACTGTCCAAACAAAGACAACCCACCACGCCATAAACACGCCAACTTCTTTGGTAAAAGCAGAGCAAGGCAGCAATCCACAAAACATATGCATATTATTCTTCACCGAGTTTCCATCAATCAGAGACAAGCCAAGGAAGAGAAGTACCAGGATAGGTGGAGCGAAGAACTGCAGGCCCACGAGGCACAAGAAATGATTGTGCAGGAAAACTTTAGCTCTACTGAAGTCCAGATCAGGAACTCTGCTAGCATGCAACCTTTGGTACCAAGACAGCACGGCTTCATTCAAGAACATCTGCAGATTCGGTCTTATGGCCACAAGTTGGAAGCAAGCTGAAGCTACCAGGCTCCAAATTCGTAGATTAACAAACTCGGATCGAGCAAAACCCAATCTCCCCACCAATTGGTCAGCATTTCCAGAGTCTTTCTTGTAAAGGATCTCGGATAAGGGACGAATCCAAAGCAGAACGGGAAGGGCAACCGAAATGTAGTTTCCGTATAGGATCATTTTAGCAAAACCACCACATGATATTATTGAGAGATTAGATCGAGTCTGATCTGTCCCAATCCAAAACGATCGCGCATTCTTGCCAGCAGCCATGTACAGAAATCCACCAATGCAGCCCATCAGGAACGCAATGAAGAACTTTCCATACCCATCAAGTGAATTCAGATCAAAATCAAGGACCGAGCCAGCAAACCCGGAACAAACGATGAACCCTAACACAAACCCCAAAACCCCTACCACTAAACCAAATCGCTTCTCCGATCTCTTGGACGCTGATCTCTCAAACGAAACTTTACCCAGCGACACAAACAACTTCAAAATACAAACGAGGATCAGAATCGCCGGAATTAACGACCCATTAACAAAAGCCCCACCATCGCGTTCTTCTCCCCCTTCCCCGGCGGCCAAGTACTTGTGGAGAGACAAACAAGCGAGGGAAATGAGAGAATAAGTGAAGGAATACCAGTAATCCTTGAAGTAGAGGCGAGACTGGAGATGACCCTCGTCGAGTTTTAGCCTAAAGATCTGGGCTTGGTTTTCGTCGAACTCGAATTTCTCCTTGGATTTACCCTTCCTCGGCTTCGGCTCGGCGTTGCCGTCGGAGGGTCGTCGGATAGCGGCCTTGACGCCGCCGTTCTGGCTGGGGGCATTATCGGGCTGGATGTAAGTGAGGAGGCCGTGGAGTAACAAGGCCGGGAATCGGAGAACCGTCGAGAGCAGAGTGAGGGAGACGGCGAGAGAGATTTCGAGGATGGGAATCTTGTACGCTTGAATGGATTGCCATACTAGAGCTTGTTGCATTATCAGTGATTTTGGATGAAATCAAAGCTCCTTCTTAGGTGGGCGAAGAGGAATAGTTGGGGAAGGTTTGATGGATTTTGGGAAATGGAAGAGTTTCCGAAGATCTGGAGATTGGTCGTTTGTCGTTGATCTCTGTGAAAGTGAAGGATTAACGAGTTGGCGTCGCCATTTTGCTTCAGAATGAAGACTGAAGAGTGAGTTGCTTACTTTTGGGGCTTTGGTACGGAATATGATGGGCTTTTTATCTTACTGTTCATTACGGGCTTTTGTTAACGGGTTGGCCTACCGGCCTAGCATTATTTCCAGTGTTATTAAAGCCGAGTCAAGCCGCTCGGCCCGACTGGTAAAACCGTCACTCGTTCACAAAACCGGCTCGTAACAGTCTAAAAGCCGCTCTGGTTTTATGTAGCGGTTGGAGAGCGGCAGAGGCGGTTAACCGCTCAAGTTGATCGAGCCGCTCGTTCGGTTTTTGTCATTCAGCTGTTAAATTTAATTAAAAAAATTGCAGAAAATTGAAAATTGAAATAAACAAAAAACGTCGGGCTCTCAAATTGAATCTTTATTTCCATTTCAAAATTTCGAAGGAAAGAGATGAGCTCTGATTAAGAAATGTCCACTATTTATACTGATAACGTTTATTAGGTACCGATTCTCTAACGATTTTTAAACCGTTTATTGCCGATTGGACCACTAAAGTATGAGCCGTTCACATTATCGGGTCATGCTCCAATTCGGTTCTAATAACATTGATTATTTCTTATTAGTCTGCTAAAATCTACCAAAGGATGAATGTTAGGTGCGTTAGCACCTATTCTTTGAAGCATATATCGTTTTTTTAATCATAAGCCAAGAATTCGTTCTTTTCCTTGAAGAGTTAAATTCATTATGTGGTGAGATATTTATCATTTTTTTTTATCGCGAGTGATTAGTTATTACTATACGTGACGACATTATATTAAATTATAACTCATTTGTCATTTACTTACTGCGTTGGATGATAAAAGAGCCACTTTCAAAGAATATATTATATAATTATGATTGAAGAATTTATGAATTTGAACAAATTTTCAAATTGATATATTATGAGACAAGATAGTATATCAATGATCAATGTGCTTGTATGTAAATATGTTTTTTGAAACGGTTTACACAGAAACAAGAATAATATATATGGTACACAACAACTGGGTTTAATCTTATAATCATTTTTTTTTTTGACAATTCATGAAGTAGGAACATTAATCACAGCCATATATTTTGTTGCTTATTTTAGATATATACATTGTAATCTACATTTTGTTGCTTATTTTAGATATAATGTGATGAGGATAAAGTTGGCTTCATAATTCAAAGATTAATATCCTATGAATATGTCTACATCCCTTTCCTACTTTTATGTTTCAACTTGTGCACTTCTCATTCTTCAAGGTTTATCAGTAGCCCAAAAAGGTGGGAAAATATCTAAACTTTTGCCCATACTGATATTTTGGGGTCTGAGAATCTACAAATGGTAATGAATGAAAGCGTGAGAGATAATGAAATGATTCTTCTTCTCAAACACAACCCTCAACTTGAAGTAGTATGAACGAATATGATCAGATGTGCGTGGGACTGAGGTCTGAGTGTATGTTTTTAAAATCCATTTTACCCCAAACACATATGACACACTGGTCGGTTAAATAATTAGATTCGTCGTGTTGAGTTTATCGGTTGTATTTTTACAGACCGTTTGGTATCAAATGAATCGAGAATTAATTTCGAAATAAAATGAAGTGTCGTGTAGAATTCATTGTCAAATGAATTCCTGTGTTTGGTATGTGATATGTATAAGTAATTTAGTTAATAAAAGATGATAATTATGTCATTCTATTATAATTAGTAAATACTTGTGAAATTCATTTGGAAAATCCATCTCAATTCCTCGGAATTGCTATAACTAGTTCCAGTCCATACATAGAATTCAAAATTTAGAATCGAAAATGAATACTTTTTAATACCAAACACAAAATTATTTCATTTCAAAATGAATTGCTCAAAACTTATGTAATTCATTTATACCAACGGTATGTTATATTTTTTGCTTTGTTAGTTTCACATGATTTAGTGAACTAAGGTTACATGATACATCAAATAAAAATCCATTTGTTAACTAAAATTTTGCTCTTGATTCAATCTATAGTCCATTGCGGAATGTTATTGTTTAAATAGAGAGGTTATCCATTGCCTCTCTTTCTAAGAAAAGTAAAGAATAACTCCTATTTTATTTGTATCGATGGCATCTTTGCTATTTCTGCATCATCAGCTTTAAATAATTTAGTCCATTTCAAAATATTATTGTTTACTATGATATTCCCAAAAGACATTTAATAGAAACCTTTGTGCAGAGTCCAAAAGGACTTAAGCAGGTGAACATCTAGATTTGATCTCGCTCCGCCATCGCTTAAGTGGTGTAAGTGGATGTTTATGGGTAATATAAAAAAAAAACAAGCAAGAAAAATGATACTAAACTAGCTATACCTCTTCAAAGAAAACTATAGAACAATAATTGTCTAAGCTAGGTTGAGTGATTAAATATAAGATATTTCAAAAGGTATGTTAAATCTTAAATGCAATATTTTATAATCATAAGTCGTCACTAATACTTAAAATCGGCTCCATCTCTAGCTTAAGATATTACAGATGTCACACTCACATAACAAATTTGATTCTACACCTTAGTTATGAACCTAACCCCCAATTTTCCAACCGAAAAAAGAAAAGAAAAGATCTAGTAGATAGCCGGGCTTGTATATCTTGTTCTTCCTCAGGCTGTAGACATCGTTTCTGCTATAGCTAGCTATCATGCACTACCCTTTGGAGGAATCTCTTTCGTCTTTATCGCCACTACTCTTATCAAGCTGCGGCACCACCTGTTGCAAATCATCGGAACTTTCACGATTAGTTATCTCGACAGTCACTATAGTATTGTGAGGTTTTTGTGTGAGAAATCTTTTGTAAAACGAAAATAACAAAAAACAAACACCATCTAAAGCGACGATTTGTCAAAAAGAAATTTACAAGTGTTCATGATAAATACCGCAACCACAACTCATTTCATCTAATCTTTGAGTGGTTCACGACAACTAATGTGCTCAAAGCATGTAAGACAAACGAATCCCACTCGATCCGACTCTCAAATCGAGTAGGATGAGAATAGATTGACCGGACAAACAAAATTACACTCCAGCCATCATTTTGTTGAAGCTTGGAGCTTTAGACATTTTGTCACAAATTCTCACAATTTAGGAACCACCTTAGACATTTTTATCCAAATTATTGTAGGGGTGGTGAGCAAGAACCTGATCGTGTGATGATGAATTGCCGGTTTGGGTATTCTGATTATGAGTATGAGATGACGATATCATCGATCTTCTTGATCTCTTCCTCTTGTGTCCATTCCTCCACCTCAATTTGCTTCTCGACCCGACCGAATCTGTTCAAACCCATGACCAACAAACCCAACCAGCCAAAATCAATTAGACAATTCAATAACCTTTACCCTCTGTTTTTTAAAGAGGGAAAGGGAAGGGGAGGGAAGAATGGGGAGGAAAGTCCCATTCCCAATGTACTTCACCCTGTTTCCGAAATAAGCTACAGGAAGGGAGGAAAGAAAGTTAAGTGGACATTTCACTGTGCAATCCAACCCTCCATTTTGGAGAGAAAACTACTTTCCTTTCTTTTGTTCTTTTATTCATTAGTTTATTATTTCATTTGGCTTTTCTTCTTTATTAGTTTTTCTTTCTTTTTCCTTTACTTCTTTTTCTTCCTCTTACATGTTCTTCATTTTCGTTCAGTTTAATAGATTTTTTTCCTTTTTTGCTTGTGCATTAGGTCTCATAATAAATTGTGGTGTATTAAAAAGGAGTATAGTGATTGAGGGAGTCCATAATTGAAAGGATTTAGGGTACGGTAAGCAACAAGGGATGGAAATCGGTGATGATATCTTTTATTTGTTATCGTTGTTTTTCCGGTACAATTTTCGGCATAATTTACAATCATTGCTTTTAATTTCTGATAATGAACGAAATTATAATAAAGAATAATTTTTATCCATAATTCATAATATAAATAGTATAAACATATAATTAAATTATTATACTATTACATAACTAATAAAATAATATATCCATCACACTTCCCAATACACATTTTCCTTCTTACTTTCCTTCATAAAACAACTTTTTCCTTCCAATTCCCTTCACCTCCAAATCTTCCTCCCCTCCTAATTTTCCTTCACCTCCCCTCCTTTTCCTCCCTTCCTTCGGAAACAGAGGGTTAAATATTCATTGCGGTCCATTTTTTTATATATTTGTGCACACAAAATGTAATCAACCTGGCTCAAAAGCCCATAAAATAACATTAATGTGAATGGTGGCAAAAAATATCTTCCTTTGGGTATATCCACATTTCCCCAGTCATATCCGTTACAATCTTCATAAATTATTATTTTAATTTGCCAGATAAATATCTGATGGCTAATTACAATTAAAAGTTCACTTTTGAGTTGTAATGATTTTTTATTATAATTAATCTGGGTATCTTCGAAATCTAGTATAATGATTGATTAATATCCAGATAAAAGTGTAGAAAAGGTTAAAGCAGATCACTTTTTCCACGGCGGAATAATCATCGAATCGATCGGCAAAGAAGAAAGAAACAAATGCACCCGGCAATTGGAACTACACGTAATCGCCCATCCAAAATAACGCACCTGATGAGGTGGCGGCGGAGCCGATCGGGGACTTCTTCTGCCGCCGTGATTTGGCGGAGTCGAGAGTTGACTCCAAGCTGTCCGGCAGGCACCGATCGAGGCGGAGGTGGTGGTGGCGGCGGTGGAAGGACGAGTTCTGGTTTTCAAATAGCATTGTACGAACGAAGGTGGCCTCCATCGAGTTTAGGAAATTCACGTGCTTCTCGTTCGTCCAGTTCCCTCCGCCGCTGCTGCAGCTGCTTCCGGTAGAAGGTTCGCCGTCGTCCATCGGATGTAGCCGGGGAATGAGATGAAACTGTTCGACGAAATTCCCAAGAGAAGTTTCTTCTTCCCTTTTCTTTCAAGTCCTTTGGTAAATATATACATAGCGCGGGTGAGATAAATAAAACCACGGCCTTTTTTCCCCTTTTTTAATTCGCGGAAACAGCTGGCGGAAGGGAATCTGCTCGCGCGTGTGGAAGTTTGCTCACTCGCGCAGTGAAGTGGGCAGGTGGGGACGATGTTTGCGGGTCCGGGTGGACGGAGCAATGAGAGAGCGAGTGGATTCAGCGCGTGGTTGGGAGAAGGTGGGGATGGGGAGCGGGAATGGAAAAAATATCTGGGGATGGGGGATAGGATAGGGATATAAAAGGAAGATATTTTAGGGGAGAAAAGTGAGGGAGGGGAAGTGACAATTCTTTTGTTTCCTTTTGCCTTTCCTTTCCCTACTTTCATTTTCCCAATCGACATCTAACCGTAGGAAAGTAACTGAAGGAAGTACAGAAAAAATCTTGTGAGTGGTTTGGTAACGATCTTGCTTGTTTAGGAAAAAGAATGAAACTTTTTTTAAAGAATTAATAAAAGAGATATAGGTTATTTTTTTTATTAGGTACTATTGAAGGTATTCGAACCTGGTACCCTCAGGTTCATGGCTAGTGGTATTACCATTAGACCAATTCCTTGTTTGTATTTGCTTGTTGGATTTGAAAATGAAAGTTTTTATTAGTTTTGAAAATCTTTGAATTTATGATGGATTTGTTTCATTTGTTACTAGATAACGGACCTGGCTAGATACTATTTATTTGTTGTTGTTATAGAGATGGCAACTTTGAACTAACTCATGTTATCCGATCTATTTTGACATGTTTTAAAGTGGATAATACATATTTTGTATGTAGGGTGGACGAGCATGAATACTTTTCTCGACCCGACTCATCTTGACATCCTTCATTCTCGACACGTTTTTGTCTAAATTATATATACTTTTACTTAGATTACTTGAGATGTTATTTTACTGCCTTATAATTTGGCAACAATAAAGTTGTAAATAAGCGAGAATATCAATTTCTTGAATAGCTTAACTATATTTTATTATGATACAGTTTGTTTCTTTTTTAATAAAAAACAATTATTTTAATATTTTTAATTTAAATTACATACAAATATGGGTCAACTTGTCCTGATTCGTATCTTGTAATAAATTGTGCAGGGATAAGTTAGAATTGCGGCAGCTAAATTAAGTGTAGCTGTATGTATGTGGGATGGGGCAGTTCGGAGTGGATCTCATTCGGCAGGAGGGGTAGTTATCCTCAATCATGTTAGGGAGGTCATGTTTGCTATGGGGGTCCAGTTTCCTTTGATTGATGATCCGATGCTGGTTGAGTTACTTGTCCTCCGTGAGGCAATATCTTGGTGTTTGGGTTATGGCTTTTCAGAGGTGAGGTTTGAAGGCGATGCCAAAGTGATTATTGACAAGATCAATCGGGCTGATGCTCGAGATAATCGGATGGGGGCTATCCTTGAAGAGGTTGTGCAGTCTTTCGCGATGAACATGGGCTTCAATGTGCGATTTGTAGGTCGAGGTAGCAATAGGGTAGCTCATTTGGTAGCTAGAAAGGCCCGGTCTTTGTACCCAACTACGTGTCGCTTCTTTGATTTTCAGGCCTACCTGAATTCCAGAGAGTAATTGTATATTTATTTTTAATCATTATAAGATTACAGAAAAAAGAAAAAAAACCCAAACGAGCTGCGCTGAAGTCCAAGAACGGGGATCCTACATCGGCACATTTCCGACACAAACATTTCTTATTCACCGCCGCCGGCTCTCGAGATTGGTGTGGCGGGCACGGAAATCCTCAGGGCTCTGCGCCTCTGCCCCAGCACCTCACCCAACTTGTACATCGCCATCTCGAACAACACGAACAGATCGGCAAAATCTCAAGGCGGCTGCTCGATTTCCCTTCCCCACCGCCATCACCGGTGATAGTCTGCGCCGGACATAGAACACTTTACTGGCGTGCACGCAGGACTCCGTTTCCGGCCGTGCAGTCAAGAGAAGCACCTCCCCGCCGCGCGATCGCCCCAAAAAATAAAGCGCGTCCACCGTGTAGAACCCACCTGGTACGGCAGAGGCGACCAGGAGGTCGCCGGCGGAGATGTGCGGGGTGGTCATGAGGGAGATGCATCCAATTGGGAGAGGCCATGTCACTTCATGTTAATCAAGGACTGAGGCTCAAGATAATCCATAGCTAGAGGATGAAACGAGTAAAAATGCGATAGAATGCTTGAGATGAGGTGAAAGTAAAAGTTATTTACAGCGTTGAAGCGAATGGAAACATACAAGATTCTGACATTATAATGTAGTGAACTGAAAGTACATGGGGAAAAAAGATGAGCTAGAATAGAGTCAGTAGTTATAAAAAGGCGTGAGATTGGGCTCACTATGTGGGGAGTATTAAGACGATCCATTAGCTTGAGGGCGAGATGAAGTTGAAGCATCTCCTTCAATGTCGATGTTCCTCACACCAGCGGTTACTGATGCTGTTGAACTGGAGCGTCCTCCGTTGTTCTCCTTGGCATGGCCATTTTCTTCAGCCTCCTCGTCCTCCAACAACGAGCCCTTGCGCCTGAGTTCTTTCACTTTCCGGAACTCGTCGTAGTGTGCTCTTCTAAGCTCCCTGAAATAAGCTTTCCTGTCCGTTTCGTTATCTGGCAACGTTGTTGAGAAAGATAGATGAATCAAATTCTGAGGGAATATCAAAGGTAAAAAAAAAAAGAAGAAGAAAAGGCAATCAAATTCAGAACTTTCGACTGCAGTTATGCATGCTGTTCTTGTTAACTACTGCACACAAGAGACTACACGATTAGTAGGCCTAGCAATTGCATGACAAAAGTCCCGAGTTATGTCTTGAGAATATGTGAATCATCTGAGTAAACTTATGGTATATCATGATTTCACCATCTGAGTAAACTTCATATCATGTTTACTTGCATCACATTATGCTTCAAATGCTTAAAAATCATAACAGATTTCATTCTTCAGAACTTCTTTCTTAGACTGTTCCCTTTACCTTATTATCCCCATTAATATGAAGAAACTGACTGCATAACATTTGATAGGTGTAACAGCTAATCCATTAGAACACCTCGGATTCCTCTATTACGTAAAAAAAGGCCACCTAAGTACCTAACCAAAAGTAAGAAGTAACTGAACTGACACAGAAAAAAACCAAAGAGAGGAAGTATGAGGTCAAGACCTTCATCATCTTGTTCCATAAGGTCAGCTTCATCTTCGGATGATGTCCAGCCAGTAGATCGTCTGCTGGAGTTTCCGCTCGATGAAGAAGCCACAGTGTGTAATGCCGTTCGCAATTCCTCAGCATGCATAACGTCATCAACGGGCTCATCAAAGCTATCCTTAGCAGGAGATAAAGTGCCTGTATGCAATCAACCAAATTCCGATTGCATTAGGGCACGGCGAGAAACAAAATTATGTACAAGGAGGAACTAAACAAACAGCAAGTCTTGCCAAAACGAGAACTTCTAATAAATACACTCTTATTACTTATAAAAAAAAAAAAAAATACACTCTTATTCCACTTTCAGTAAGAAACAAAAGGTACCTAAAATATATTAACAACTAAAAGCCCTTCACAAACTCTGTTCGACAAATTGGGAAGATGAAAGACGAACAACCACACCCTGCATGCTTTTCTGCGCTATTATGTAAAAAGTTCACTGTATTCTAATCAAGGAGCCATTGACTTACCATCATCATCAATCATGGGGTGATATGGTGTCTTAGGCTCAGTAATTTTTTGCCTCACAGGTTTATTAGCCTCAATCTCCCCCAGATTATCTTCATCCCATCTTACACGTCCTTTACCTCCCCTACAAACATGTTAAGGAAACCAAATTTCACTTCAGATATCTGATTGACATATATACAAAACTAGTATTTCATTGGGTACATTTTTTTTATTATTACAATTCACTTGTACAGAAAGGATCCAATAGATATCCCAAAAGGAAACAGAATAAAGAGAGAGAAGGAGAAATCCATAATTACGTCATTTTCCAGAGCCAAATTGCAGACGATACAGTTGATTGACCTCTGATTACACTGAGCAAGAAAGGCACCTGGTCAAAATCGTCAATGAAATCAGCGAAATACATTTAAGCAAAGAAAAATGCAACCAGCATTGGTGACACACCATTATGGATAGGAAAAAATAATCACGTTGAACATAAGCTAATGCAGCAAGGAGATATGGAATGATGAGATAAGTAAGAATTCGTAGGAAGATTCTACAAAAGTTGACAAAACAATAGGAAACCACAAATCAACAAGGCAACCGAAAAACAACAATGGAACAGTCCCATAAGAAGAAGAAGAAAAAAACTGAGATTGCAAGACAGGTGTATCCAAACGAGGGATTTCCCTGTTGTAAATCCGTACAAGAAAGAAGGAAGGAGAACAAAATCTTCACAAAGTTTGAACATAATCATCAAATTCGGAGAACCAGAAGCCCAACTATGAAGCAGACGCAGGATAGGCGAGGTTTCAAAAGTTTCCAATCGCTTAAGATAGAAATGAACACCAGGGTTATGAGATAGAACTTCAGCTAATACAATTAGTGCAGATAAATTGCAAAGAACAGTAAGCTAATCTATGAAGAACGCCTAACATATAGAAGATGAGTACGAGTACAATCCATCTTCTTCTTCTTCTTCTTCTTCTTCAGGACAAACGACCTGAACCTAGAGCCATGGAATCCAATCATGGACTCCGCCATCAACGAACAACAACAAAAACACAACCATTCTAACAATCTGCACGCAAGATGTTACATAAAGCAATCCAAAAAACACAGATTCAAAGCTACAAATCCGTAGAGTTTCTGTTTGGCTCGGGAGAAAGTGCGAGAAAGTATTCGCAAGCAAACTCTGCCGGCGATCAATAGGCCTTAAAACATCATTTCGATACTACAGAAACATATCTCAGCACAAATACTCCACTCCGTCCTCTCTCGAGAAGAAAACGAGAGCGGAAAGAAGAGAAAACAACGGTAGGAGGAGGAAGAGGAGAAAATCGTACCTTCACGAATGCTCTTCTTCTCTGCGCTTTCTTTCCTTTCTTCCTCCTTTCAGCGCGACAGTTTTTCTCGATCCAATTATGCCCCGCAAGTTTTTCCCCTTCTTTCCAATACCGAGTTTCTTTTTTCCTTTCCCAAAACTACCCTCCTATCGGATGGTATTTCGAGGCAGTCCACTCTGCTTGGGCGGGATCTCCACCGTTCATTGGTTTGACTTTTCATATCTTGACCAGGCAACGAAGACAAAAAAGTGTCCGAGTCAGGGGGATTTCCACGTGGCTGGGGGGCAATATAGGGAATTCATGCGTTCAGCAGGAGGAGTGGAGAAAACAGAATAGAAGGAAGCCTGTTTGTTGGAGGGGAGACTGTTTGAGAGAGGTCTTCGGCCATCTGTTGGAAAGACAAAATCTCTCTCACGAATTGCAGAGCTAAAACCAAAATCGACTCCGCCGCGATCTCCACCTTGTTACTCGGCTTATCATTAGTAAGATTCCTCGCTTTGTCAGTTTCTGAACCGAATTTATTGTAATTGGACGATGGATCAAGAGATTTGTTTGGACTGGTTTTTTTGTCCGTTTGCTTGCTTGATCTGGGGGTTTCTGCTGTTTTGCTTACATTTTCACCGTTGAGAGGCTGCTGAGGGGTTTCTAGCTCCACAAGTTTGGGGTCGAATCGGCTGTGCAAATCAAATTTTGTAACAGTGATTCAGAAATGGAACGGCTTTGGGCTTTGGCACTGTGATTTGCTGCTTGGATGCATGCAACGGTGTCTGTAGTGGTTTGCCAGGGAGAAATGGCTTTGTTATCAGACTCTTGGGTAGTTGAACAATCTCATTTTGAATACGTGCTGCCTGTGTTGTGTGCTGATGTTCTACAATAGTTTGGCAGACTTGCTTTTTGGCTTTGTCGTGCATTGAACCATGCTTGTCCATGGTGATTGGTGATACAAGTTTGGCTTGGGTGATTTTGCTTCTGGGTACGAGTCTCATTTATTGTTGAGAGGAACACTTGATCTATAGAGTGGCTGCTTGGAAGTAGGAAGTAGAGTAACTTCATATGTCTGTCGTCTTGTGTTTAATTATGTTCCAAACCCTTTCAGGACTGTCCATTCTATGGTATGGCGGGTATCAAGTTAGGATTATTAGACCTTCTTTCCATTCTATGGTGTGGCTTCTTGGAAGTAGGAAGTAGAGTACCATATGTCTGTCGTCTTATGTTTAATTATATTTCAAACCCTTTCAGGATTGTCCATTCTATGGTGTGGCGGGTATCAAGTTAGGATTATGAGACCTTGTTTCTTTTAATCCTATAGGCGAGAAGGGACAAGAAATACGTCAATTACTCAACACAGACATGTTCTCCTTGTTCTATGGCCTTTATAAGTATATGTTCAGTAAGACAGAGTTTCATGTGCTCATTCTTGGGATCGACAAGGCAGGGAAGACGGTAATGCTTCTTAACCTTGTGACGTGAGAAGTTCATTGTGCAAGTAATTCCACTCCCATAATCAAGTGTATCCGTTTGTTCTTTTCTGAATTTTGTAGACCTTGCTAGAAAAGTTGAAGACAGTGTACTCGAATTCTGAAGGCCTCCCCCATGACAGAATTGTTCCAACCGTTGGACTCAATATTGGTCGTCTTGAAGTGTCGAATTCCAAGCTTGTGTTCTGGGACCTGGGCGGGCAGGTACACATTACAGTTTAAACTTGTCAGACTTTCAAATAGTGATTCATTTGCTTATGGTTGTGCTAGGGGTTCTCTTTCTGCACATTGGGATGTTAGTAGTTCTATTAAGAGAAAGTAACATTTTTATATGAAGTGGGGAATATGATGCAGCTTTGTTTACGATCCATCTTAGCTGCTAAGCTCATCCTAGAATTATCTCTACTCCAGGATAAGTTAATGGTTGAATCATTGAAATGTGCTTTTGGTTGAATCATTGAAATGTGCTTTTCCTCATCTGCGCCATGTTTAGATCGGCCTTCGCTCAATTTGGGAGAAATATTATGAAGAAGCACATGCTGTAGTGTATGTAATTGATGCTGCTTGCCCTTCTCGTTTTGAAGATGCAAAATCTGCTTTAGGTATGTAGCATTTACTTTGTTTCTTCATGGAAGAGGCGAACATCTGGACATGAAGGGGTAAGTGAACAACTTCGAGTTTTGTGTTGATTCTTGACAGAGAAAGTGCTTAGGCATGATGATCTGCGAGGTGCCCCTCTTCTGGTGTTGGCAAACAAACAGGTAAACTTTCCCATGAGATTCAGCTTGCTAAGAATGTTGGTTGCTGCAACTCCTCTACTAAGTGATCAAAACCCCTTGCACTTGCAGGACCTTCCAGACGCTGTAACAGCTGAAGAACTGGGTAGATATCTAGACCTGAAGAAGTTGGACGAAAGGGTTTACATGTTCGAAGCTGTTTCAGCATATGATGGGTGAGTGGGTACTGAGTAGAGATTTTGGTTGATTGTAAGAATAAAAAAAGTTTGACCACAGTGGAGAAAAACATCCACAAGTGTCCTGTAACCGCTGAAATATTGAGACTTCATGCAGGTTGGGTATCAAAGGAAGTCTAGAATGGCTAGTTGAGGCAATGGAACGGAGCAAGCGAACTGAAACATTGAGACTGCGTGCAGGGATGGCTGGTCCTGGTGTCTAGCAACACAATCTATTTTGGAATCAAGATGAGGAACCTTTCACCACCTGGCTTTTCAGTAGATTCTGTAAATATGCTACAGAGGGTTACGCAGCATCCTACTTGCGCGACGAGTGTACTAATTCTGCCATAGGATGCATATTCTTTCGCAATCCACTTCTCTACTGCAGAGATGCAAGTTAGTAGTAGGGAAGGGAACATGATTACATAATCCACTGGGAAAACATACGTGTAATGATCACTGGTTCATGATGTAGGCATTTTGGCCTGGTGAGTTCATAATTTAGTCATTAGAGATACAGTGTTGGAAGAAAGTTCGAAACTTTTCTACCATATCAATTTCTGCTTACATTTCTGCAAAAGATTGAAGCCTAGAAATACTCATGAAATTGAACTGGCAATTCAGAAATAGCGAATCAAATCACGCTTCGATTCCCCCATTCGATCTGTCTCCGGTCAGTTCTTAGAGCTAGTACCGCTGGCTCGTTCCTTCACGGCCGGTTCAGGAGGTTCTGTGATTGAGATCAAAGAAGAAACGGTTAACACAACCAAGAAAACTATAGATGGATGAAGAGGAGAGGTTAAAACTTAAAAAAGTGAGAATTGGTGGAGAGCTCACTGGAGATTAGGGCCTTGGGTCTGGTCTTGAACAGAATCTTGTGGCGTATGACGCCGACAACGTCCAGCTCCACCTTGCTTGAGGAGTCGTCACCGTCATCCGTGCGCTTGACTTTCTTCAGCACGGCCAGGGGCTTCTTCAAGGTGACCTTCGTTCCCGACAGTTCGTGATAACCGATCGTGAGAGTGTACTTTTCGTCGGAGGAAGGCCGGCAGAGGCGTCCGATTTCGAGGTTCTGGATTCCATCTCGATGGGAAGGCTGGACCTCGACAACGCCTTGCAGCTCCACGATCGCCCATTCCGGACAGTTCTCAGCGCCGCAGCTACACTTCACCTCAATCTGCATCTTCTTCTTCTTCTCTCTCTTCCTCTGTGTCTCAGAGTCTCTCTCTCTCTCTCTCTCTCTCTCAGTGTCTCTCTCTCACCCGCAAAAGCAGAAACAGCGAAGAGATTGGCGGGAACCAAACCCCGGTTTCCCGCCAGCGATTTGCCTTAGGGGAAATCGTGGTTCCGGTTGACGATTTAGGCTTGGGCCTTCATTTTATAAAAATGGCCAACTACATCAACAGTCACAGAATTTTTTAAGACTGTTCGGCAAATCGGATCATGAAATTGTGACCTTTAGCATAACTCTGATTAGCTATTAAGTAGTAAAGAGATGTGATCCAAGGTATGAATTTATGCTAATTTATTCCATTAAAATTATGCTAATTTTGACAATTTGGAAGAACAAAGGGAAGCAAACATGATATAGTACTACTTCATCGTGGAGATTATTGTATTCACCATCATCATCCATTGGAGGCAGCCAGAAGCAAGAACCCTAAAGTTAGAACATTTGTTTACACAGGTGAGCAGATTTGCTGAACACGGTAGAGCAAGCTAACTAGGATAACAGAGAACTAAAGCCAAAATGATGTTGCTCTCCGGACTCGGAGAGCTTCACCTTCCATATGTACAATTAACAATCGACTAGACGACTACAGTTAAAGACAAACCTACACAGCCTTCCTCTGGCTTCTGGTAACTCTCCTTCCCATACCAGCAGACGGGCTGCTCCCACCAGTGTACCTCGCGATTTTCGTCTGCGGTGATGACAGCTGCTCTACCCTTGCTGCTGCTTCGGTAGGGAAGATAGTAGTAGGCTGGTGGAATACCTGACCGGAACTTGGTTGAACTTGTTGTGATGAAGTTGCCTGCTCTTGCATGTTGAAAAGATCAGACTCCAGTGGAATTGCACCCGTTAGAGTTTTTATGGCAAACTCGATACAGGGGTCTGCCCATGTATAAGCTGCAGACAAGCCAGCAGGCGATACTGGATTCTGAGAATGGTTTATTGGCTCCGGTTCAGCAATGCTTATTTCTGGAGTAGCAAGATGCTCCTTCGAACTGGCTGAATCACCGAGTCCATTATTGTTCGACGCCATTGGCAAGTCATCAAGTGACCCGGTGAGGGTCTTTATTGCAAATGCAATGCATGGGTCTTCCCATAACTCTCCCAGGGGAGCATCGAGAGGCAGTTTCCCCGCTTCACCTTCTTCAGCTTTCTTAAAAGTTCCAGAAAGCTTGCTCTTATTTGACTCGGCGAAGGCTTTTCTTGCCGCGGATGTATTCTGGTATAGATGATTAACTTCCAGCTTGGGATCAGCCGGATCACTTGACGGCTTAACTAATGCTGCTCGATGATGATGATGTTGTTGACTTGGGGTCTTCAGTGCTGAGGTAGAATCAAGTGCGGCAGTACCAACATCCACAGTTTTAACAGCTGCTGCTGCTTGATGAGAAGATGGACTCGCCTCTAGTGCTGCGGTAGTAGGCTCAAGAGGAAGAGCAGCAAGTCGCTTCGAGGCACGGCGAGGGATCTGTACGACGTCCTCCTTTTTCTTGGACTTGCCAGTTGTACTATATTTCTTGGTCTCATGGTTTTCCAATTTGTGTTGTTGTACAGGCTGCATATCAGAGACACCTTTAGCTTCTGGAGCAGTTGCTCCAATCTCCTTTTCCTCGTGTTGAACTGTGCGCTTTTCAGGGAGTATTTCAGGTACTATAGTAGTAGCCTGTTCAGTCACCTTCAAGGTCTGGTCCATTTCTTCATGTTGCATTTCTTGAACATCTGGGAGGGCTTCAGCTGCTGGTGGAGCTACTTTAGTTACTTTGAAGGTAGGTTCTACTCCAGGCACCTTTAAGCTCTTATTAGTTCTGTTCATAGTTGCATCAGTCCCCAACTGGTGTCTCTTGGTTAAAGCTGGCGACTGGCAAGCCAAAATTAATAGAACAGTAAGCATTCTCACGTATGAAAGGCAATACATCTGAGACTAAGCTAGAAGACAGTAAAGGAACTCTGGAAGCGAGGAAGGGGAAGCTAGTGGACATTTCAAAGGACAAATTTCAACTTAGAATCACTAGAACTTTTGACGGAGTCCTCAGCCCAGACAAAAAATCATGGTGGTTCGCTAAGAATGTCTAACCCTAGTTTTGAGTCAATTTAAGAACTCAGATAAGCCAATCACTACAGGTTCGAGAATAGACATGAATTCATTATTGTAACCATTGTTTTGGTGCAGCTAACTAACTTCAAGTCATATCATCACATTTTGGGGAGTTCGCTAGCAGTAGCAGGCATCATATTTATTCTCGGATAAAATAGCAGACCATAAACTTCCAGAATTTTAATGTTGAAGTACCCACCAGAGTTTCATCATCTTCTGCATCGTCATGATGCCTTCCTTCCCTCCGCCTGATTGCTAGTCTTCCAACCTCCCCAGTCTGACTATACCGAACCGCATCTTTCATGGAACGGAATGTGTATGCATTTTCAGGATCCGTATAATACTACAAAAGGCAAAGTTTAGTTAGTGAATTCATGAAAATCAAGTTTGAGTCGTCCATACAACTCATCTCCCAGGGCGTACTGCAATTGTGGTATGAATATTAGCAACACACAGAACATTCAGTAAGAGGCATAACATATGAAGTTAAAAGGTGCAATCAAAGAATTAAAATCCCAAGACAAGAGAAGAAGCCTGAGTACCGGATCTCTTCGGATTTTTCTGCCCTTCTTTGTTACTTTAACTTCTTTGGTCCATCCTGGAGGTAACCCTTCCGCTGTAGCCTTCTCAAAGGTAACCTGCATTCCAAGTGAATTTAAACCCTTCTCTTAGTATGCAGAAGAGAGTAAATAATGAAAGGTATCATATCAAACACTAGTGAATAGTGAGTGAATTTTAAGAATGATTTTACACATTTATGATGGCTTCGATTCCATATTAATCAAACCCTCAGTCTAAAATAAGGAAAATATTGAAACAAACCAACAAAGGAAACATGCAAGCTGCCGAGTGCCATTAGAAACCTGTTTAGAGGATATTTTAAGAGTGCTATTGGCAAAGTGATTGCTACTATCCGTGACATTGTTGGTATTCTTCCCCATGGTGGGGGTGTTGGTGGGGTTGCTACTAGTGATATTGACCAAGTTGAGGTTGTTGCTATTCTTGAGAGTATTGGAGGGAGTGGTGATGTTGCCTGTAGTGTTGAAGTTGCCTCTACTGTCGATCGTACTGATGTTATTGTCGCTTCTAGTATTGTTAACTGTGTTGTAGCTATCATCGCTCGTATGGCCTTCGCTGCCACCAACGTTGATGCCACTACCGTTGCTTTTTAGATATCGAGTTACCTCAAGTTTAGAGTAGAACTTAGCCCCACCGGTGGGAGGAAAGTACCACTGCAAATAGAGCAAACATATATAGTCTAGTCAAACAACATCACAACTTCACGAAGCTGTCTTTGTGCGCGCAATCTGTTTTCGATCGGCTAATCAACTCCAAGTTAACTTACACACGGCATAACATGTTTCGCGTAGATTTAGTAAGAGGTAAAAGGGATTCAGACATAGATAATGCATCAAACTCCAGCAGTTAGCAACGCAAAGTTGCAGAGAATAACACATAGATCAATGCCATTAACATCAGTTTCAGTCCCGACTCCCCCAATGAATACCCATCTAATTAAGGCATCGAGATCAATGCCATCAAGTGTAGACACAACAATGAAGAACACTACTACTCATCCGTTGCAGAGGTTCACATATGCATGCAGATTCATGCATTCCAGGAACCACAACTTATTATACAAACTAGCACAAACTTGAGCAAGTTTGGGAATTGGGGGGCACAATGGTATGAAGGTTCCTTCAATGCAAAAAGCCTAGCTATGCAAAGGGCCAAGGGGGTTTCCTAAAGGGCAAAAATGGCACATGCAATCCGTAGTTCAACCCAAAAATTTGCCATTTCCGGTACAAATGGTCCGAGCAGTATAAGCAAAAAAACATCGATTCCTTCCGTAACCTAACAGTTAAGACTAAGTTGCTACGGAAACAAGCTGAGGGATTCGATTAGCGAATACAGCAAAGACTAGTAGCTACAGTGACTTGCGAGACACCCTAAAATCACAGAGAAACAGCTGAGGATTACTAGTCCTTGGGAATCGAAAAGAGGGAGAGGGGGAGAGCGGGAAATGAGAATGGAAATCGGGGAAGAAGAAGAAGGAAGGTACCTTACCTTATCCTTCTTACCGCTCTTCCTAACATTGACCTGAACTCTCCAGCCTTCCGGCAGCCAGTCGTCGGGGCTCCCATCGTTCATCGCCGGAACAAGCCTCCAATTTTCTCCTCTCTCTCTATCTCTCTCTGCCTCCCACTTTTGTTATGGTGTTGTTGTCCCTGGTTTCCTTGGGAGCAAGAAGTTGGAAGAGAGTCAAAGAGTGAGGGGAGGTGGGGGACGGGAAGAAAGAAAGCATAATAAGAAAGTGAGTGAGTGAGGTGCTTTTCTTTTTTTGCTCTTCCCCGCCTGAGAACTTAGCAGAGAGAGAGAGAGAGAGACCCCACGTGTTAGCCCAAATTAATTTTTTTGTGCGATTCGACGGTATTAGTTTGTGTTGAAGCCTACTCTAATTGATAGCAGAATTTGGTAATGCGAGTTTTACGGGATATAAAAAATGGTATCGAGCCCCAACAGAAGAATCATCCTGTAACAAAATTTGTTTTAAATGTAAACTGACGGATTAGGGAGTATAGTGATTAGTGAAGGTTCAGCCGTTCTGTTATTGACCTTTTAGATTAGATAGAGAGAGAGAGAGAGAGAGAGAGAGAGAGTACTGGGTAGGTAATTTGTGGGCTTTGGTGGGTGGGTTTCTGGTGGTGGTGGTGCTGCTTTATTGTGTAGATTCTGGCCACCTATAGTCTCTAAAAACTGTTTGGAACTTCCACCCTGGTATGCTGTTCCAATGTAGACTTGGGGGGAGACAGGTTGTTTTGATGTGTTTCATTACTGCGTGAAATATGGGCTCCACTAGAAATTGGGTTTCGCATCTCAGAGCCCAGATTGAGTGATTATATGGGCTACACCACATTTATGGGCTTTAGCATTTGGTAAGCATGTATCAATTTTTTTTTTGGTAAATGCCACATTTGGTCACTGAGATTACTAAATCATGT